TTGCTGGTGGGGAAGCGGGGTGAACGCGGGTGGAACATACTAGTATGTCAGACATACAGCCCATCCTCTGAGTAGTTAATCATGATACACTGTGTGGACACTGCGGGACTTAGATGTTTTTCAAATGCATGAATAGATGGAAGAAGACCCAAAGAGCTGCCCCGACGTAAAAAACATTGGATTGTGAGTACAAAAAATGGTGCATACTATTACATCAGACACAGTACCAACACCTGCGTACTAGTTCATCAACACAATTAAAGGGTTAAAAAGAATTATTCAAATATATGGGCCTGTGTAATGAATAACCCAGGTTGTCACTTTCTGTTGAATTGCAGGAAATTATTTCTGAGGATATAAGCCACAGCAAGTGTTTAATGCTGATGAGGTATGTATTGGGTGTAAGTGCCAACAAAAACTTAATCAGTCAGCAGAAGAAAAGTGCTCCAGGATTCAAGGCAGCTAAGGATGCTTCACAATGCTCCTTTGAGGTAAGGCATGGTGACTGCAAGTGTAAGCCCATGGTTTAATACCGCCCTAAGACTCCTCGTACTCTGAAAGGTGTATATAAAACCACCTTACCAGTAATTTGGAGGTAAAACTGCTCAGCATGGACGACAGAGGATTTATTGACTGGTTGAAGCATAATTTATTCCTGAAATCATGATTTACATGTGCAGCAAGAACCTTGCATTCAAGGTTCTCTTCACTTTTGATAATTCCTGTACTCATCAAAAAGTTTCATTGATGTGAACCCACAAGTAAGAACTGTATTTTTTACCTTAAAATACATCTTTAATACAACCACTAGATCATGGAGTTATGCAGTCATTCAAGTGTAACTACACACAAAAAGTGCTGAAAAAACTAGTTGCATCAATGAACCCCAACCTGGCAGTACTAAACTTTTGAATAAATTTAACATTGCAGATGTCATCAGTTTATGATTGAAGTGCATGGAATGAAGTTCCCCAGTCAACATCAAAGCAGGCTGAAGAAAATTATGGCCTAGTGGGAGTGAATTCTCTTACTGGTTTTTCCCTCATCAGGTGCAGGAAATAGTTCAGCTGGCAAGGAAATTACCAGGTGATGGCTTTGAAGATATACAGAAGATATGAATGAAACTCTTACAAGATAATGAAGATGACAAATCCAGAGGAAATGTTGGCAAAGCTCAATGCACATATATAAGGAGGCAGATAACAGAGGAAGAAGAACAACAACCTGAAGAAAAGCAGTTAACATTACAACTGTGAGCAGTTCCAATTTGCTACTATAATTAGCACACTTTTTTACTGAAGAGGACCCTGACAAATCTAGAAGCACTGCTCTGAAATGGGTTTTAGAGCAGCTGATGATGCCTTACCATCAATAGTATAAAGTACTGAAAGGTAACAGAGACCAGAGATGTATTACAGAATTTATTCATTCTCCAGTAAAACCATAAACTTCAGAGCCAGAGCCTCAACCATCCACTTTAATCGACAATCAAAAACCATCCACCTCAGCTGACAATCAATGCCCATCCACCTCAGCCCAGTAGGGCCACAGCATCTCTTTCCACTCTCTTCAGAATCGACAAACACCAGCAACTACAATTTAAGATAAAAAACATTATTTCTTTAACATTTGTAGCCTTAAGCAATGCATTAAACATAATACATCACAACAATGAACAATAAGTGAGATTTGAAGACCTAAAAAAATAGTTATTTGGCAATTTTTGGGAGGTACAAAGAACCTAACCTTATTTTTCCGATGAGTTCTTCAGTATGTGTTACACGATTTCATTTTTACACTCAATTTTCAGGAACATAACTCCCATGTTAATCAATGGTCTACTGTACATAAAATAGTAACAATGCTCAACACATACCCAGACTAATGCATATTTGAAGACAGCTACAATAGATCGATGAATGGAGTGGCAGACGTGCTCTACTGTAGCCCCTCCACGAAGAATAATGGGATCAGAAAAATCCGGAGCTCTCCCAGGTTTCTTTGTGTATATACGTAGAAGAGACAGCTCTTGCCACATTCTCTCCAAAAGGTAGTCCAAGTTGAGTTTCATGTTACAACTGAAAATTAATAATGCAAGAAAATCTGTATATTTTATAAGAAAAAAAGTAGTTTTAAATATAAAGAACACAATACATCTAGTGATTACCAATAATTACAAGAGCACAATTTTCCAGGTGCATCTGCTTACTGAAAACCATTAGCCCTTTCAGTGTCAGTCCCGTAATATTACGACTTGAGAGCCAGTGTCAGTCCAGTAATACTACGCCAAAATTCTAGCTCCTTCAAATCTGGTAGAATAAAAGCTGTAGGCCTACATATGAAAGAATGGGTCTGCATGGTCAGTATGCACAGTATAAAAAAAAATCCTGCCGCACGTAGTGCATGAGAAAAAAAATATCCGACTGTGTTTTTGGTTTAAAACAGCGACTTTGCGATGTATTTTTTATATCGTATCTATGGTTGTATTCTCGTTTTCTTGGTCTCATTTGACAGAATGGAAAACACATTTCAGAAATGGAGATGATTTTGATTGGTTTCACGATGAAAAGTACCTTGAAATTGAGCTTAAAGTAGCGGAATGTTCGATTTTTGCCGAGTTTCAAGAGTAAACAAATGACGTCTAATACGCGTCCAACTGGCCAGTCTAATACACAGTCACAAATGGGTTGACATTATTTATAACAATTATCATCATAATGCAGTAGTCTGCATAACAGTAAATCTTCTATTTTTTGTGAGAATAAAAATTCAAAATGGAAAGCAAGAATAATAAAAGAAGGGCCTGGAGACGTGACTAATGAACAGAGAAAACATCATTTTAGTGCTAGGAATGTCTGCCTTGTTTATTCTGGACCCTATTTTGAAATTGGCATCTTCTGAAATTTGTGTGAAATTGGCCAAATTGCCAATTTCCGACCACTTTATTGGTTAGTTGAAATCAGTAACTGGGCAGTTTCTTGTACTCAGTCAATAGAAGAAATGGAGTTCTAGCAAAATAGCTATGACTTTGGTCAACTGAAACAATGGAATTGGCCGAAAATGGGGCTCAAAGTGGGCGAAATCGTTGATGCGTAAATATCGCCGAGATTGCTAACTTCGCAAGAGCGTAACATCATAAGTTTTTCCATCAAATTTCGTACTTTTTGGTGTCATTACAATCAGGAAAGGATTCTCTATCATTTCATGAGAAAAAAATCTTTTTTTTTTTTTTTTTGAAAATTTTTTGACACAAGTACACCCTTTCAGGGTCGGCCCCATACATGTACGGCTTAACAGCCAAAATTCAAGCACCTTCATAATTGAGCAGGAGAAAGCTGGTAGGCCTACGTGAGAGAAAAGGTCTGTGCGGTGAGTGTGCGCAGTTTTTAAAAAATCAGGGCACCCGCATTGCACTGTGGGAGTGGTAATTCAGTGCGCCTTGGTCACCAAGACAAGCAATAAGGAATACATCACTCTCTGGTAAATTGGACTCTTCCCTTCCTAAGTAATAGTTCTAACACAGATTAAAGTGTCAATGAAGATGAATCTAATGGTTTTGAGGGGTTTGTGACCATAATGACCAGGATACCAGAAATAGAGCTGAAAACCCAGACGATTATCAACCTTTCACCTTCCACTATAAAACTCAGACAAAGTGACTTATTTGCATGTGGGTGGTGGGAAAGCTGCATGGGTAGTGGGGAAGTGAGTGTCTGTGGTGGGGTGGGGAAGACAGCATAGTTGGTGGGGAAGACAGTGTGGGTAGTAGGGAAGGCAGTGTAGGGAGTGAGGAAGGGAGCGTCTGTGGTGGGGAAGTGTGGGTATGTGTAAACAACATGGCTGTCCGGCGGCTGGCTGGCTGGCTGATTGACTTTGGCTGTCTCTATCTCCATCTGTCTGTCTGTATCTATATCTGTCTCTATCTCTGTCTATCTCTCTATCTCCCTGTCTCTGTCTATCTCTGTCTCAGAGGTACACATAAACACAATTATACATAGTGTAAATTACCTAGGATAACCCCCAAAAATCCAGACAAAGTGCTATACTGTGCTTGTAGATATAACGCATAGTAAGCATGACTGGCAAGTAATATGAATTTTCAGTTGTTCAGGAATCAGACGTGACAACTGCATCGTGTGTAATGCCTGTTGGTTCACGAGTGACTCTGTGAGACAGAGAAACAAGCAGAGAGACAGAAAGAGAGACAAGCAGACAGAGAGACAGATAAGCAGAGACAAACAGAGAGCCAGACAGACAGACATGCTTATGTGTAAAAGTGAAAACAAAGCCAAGGCAGTGCATGCTCATCAAATGTCACCACTGCTGCACTGTCAGCAGTGGAGTGACACTAATCTTACACCATACAATACAATTTTTATTTCCTTGCAAGTTTACATTGAGATTCTGTAATTACAATAATGAGTTGCAGTGCAAAGAGAGCCACTATCATGCCATGGCATTATGGGCAGACTAAATTTAATGGCTTACAGACTACTTAATATTAGAGAAATTGATCATAGTTTAAGTTGTAGATCTGTTTTTATTTATAGCAGACAATAAGTTTCCTCAAATTACAATCTGGGGATATTACACTGGGACAAGTTGAGAGTATTTTTGTAGATTGTGTATATAAATAGTAAATACTTAAATTATATTACTGGAATATAATACTGAGCATTGGTGAAAATAGTTTACAGTATTAGAATGCTACAATTTGGTGTAAGGCAGTATAGTTTCTGGGCAGGTATTTATACTACAATGTAGTATATTAAGTTATGTATGAATTTTGAAGTGTTAAGATTTAGATAACTGGGAGATCTTTTGGCAAATTTAAGTACTACGTACAGGTCCACCATCACAAATCCGGCAATCAGTTATTCGGTTCCTTCAGTTATTCGGCACTAATTTTGGCTAGCATAATTTCAAATTTCCAGGGTCGCCACACCAACCTGCTGGGACTGTTTGGTGGCGCTACTTGCTGCATAAGTCATTCCAATTTCTTTTTCTCCATTTATTGTTTTAACCTGCTTACTTTTAGCCCTAGCCATGGTTCCCATGAATAAAAGAAATGCTTCTCATTATGTAAAGCACCTACACATTACATTATCCATTAAAGATAAGGTGGCTTTGAAGCCACTGTCGGTTGCCATGAGCTCGGTCTCATGAAGCAGGAGAATATGCTTTATTATTACGCTAATATCAACACTACAGCTTATTTGCCTATCACAATTGATCTAATATGACATAAGAAACAATATAAATAACATAAAACATGTTAAATACTCCAGAATGAATAATATTTGGCATAACACCGAGCAGTTCGACGAAGGTATGAAGAGGATATGGTAAACAAATACCATTCTCCTATCCTTGTCTTGGTGGCTTATATTAGAGAAAACAGAGTATAGCACAGGGCTAACTATGATATACACTCATACTCCACTATAAACACGAAACAAAAAAGTTATTTTCTCTCTATAGATTATCTCACACAGCAGCATATGTATAGAGAACCTAGGGTAACCCCAAAAAAGTCAACGTGGCTTATTTTTAGTTACCTGGCTTGGATTAGCCATATATGATTTTTGGTAATATTCAATTCCCAGCCAGGGTAGAAAACATTAGGTGTGTTTTCTTTACACCTGTTGTCTATGTTTACCCATCAGTAAAGGGGTACCGGGGTGTTACCCGAATTTGGGGTGTTATCCTGGGCATGACCAATTTCTTGAAATACTCACAAAAAAGTCCTTTCTTACAGTAGTATGTCACTCATATTGTAAATGTGACCCTGATTGTAATATTTTTTTAAGACCCTGTTAGTAGAAGTCTTTTTAGTATGTAAAAAGATTTATCTTATTATAGAATAATAAAAAAATTAAAAAACTTTTTTTTTTTTTTTTTTTAACAATTTTTGGGCGTCTCCCCCCGAGGCAGGGTGACCCAAAAAAAAAGAAAGAAAAACCCCCCAAAAAAAAAATTACTTTCACACCCTTTAAACACTTTCACCCACACCCACAATTATAAATTTTTTTTGGCAGGACGCTAAATTTACAACATTTTTAGAAGCATAAAAGTATAAAGATACAAAACATATCCCCCCAACCCCGCTAATACCCCAAACCCCCTTTCCTTTTTAAAGTGCAGGCATTTATTCCCCATTTCCGGGCTCAAGTCCGACTATAGAAAAAAAACCGGTTCCCTGAATCCCTTCACAAAATATTCCCTTTTGCTCCCCACTAAACAACTCGTCAGGCCCCCAAGTTTCTTTCGTCCCCATTCACCCCTATCTAACACGCTCATGCAGTTCCCGGAAAGGGCCCAAAGCCCCCCCGCCCAAAAAACCTCCTTTACCCTCTTTTTTTAAAAACCCTTTCAAAGGAAAAACCCCTACCCCTTTTTCCCTTTCCCCCTATAGTTTTTTAAATGTTTTCCATGCCATTCTACTTTGATCCTTCTCCCAAAATGCCCAAAACCCACCTCAAAAACCCCTTTCTCCCCTCTGACTAAAGCTTTTATTAACTCCACCCCTCCAAATTTTCAATTTTCGAATTTTTTGCATAATTTTTAAACCCCCAAACACTTTGCCCTTTAGACGGCATCTCCACTCCCTCCAACCTTTCCCCCCCCTCGTCCTCCCTTTTACCACTCAAGCTTCAATCCATATAAAGGTTTTTGGTTTTATATATACTTTCATACTTTCCCCTTTTTGCCTCCATAGTAACTTTTTTTAAATTCCACTATCCCTAAACGCACCACTCCCCTTTTTTTTCCCTCATAAATTCCCTAGGTTTTAACCTCACCTTTTCATAAAACCCCATCCCCCGGGACACTTAAACCCCCAAAAATCTAAAAACCTTTCCCACTTCCCCTCCCTCCTCCTCCCCAATTTGATACCCCAAATTTTTTTCTTTATCTAAATCTTTTGATACCCTCATCATCTTATTTTTTTTCTATGTTCCTTTCAACTTTTTTTCCTTTACACACATTCTCAAACTCATCCACTTTAAACCCTTTTCAATTTTTTTTTAGAATCTCCCCTAAGCCCAGTTTCATCAGCAAAAAGAAACATTTTCAATTCC